TAAGTAGAGCAACTACGCTTGGAATCATCCCACGGAGTTTTATTAAATATTGAGGGCCAAAATTAATTACTTATCTTAACGACAGTTTTAATCAACTTTAAATTTTTATGAATTGAAGTATTTAATCCGTGAAAAACAAAGCTTAAATTTATTTCCGTTAAGTTTCTCGTGTAACGATTGGTTTATAATTCAGCCATATAAACGAGTACTATTTTTTAATATTTCGAACGCGAGTTGAGATATAGATGACCAATTGATAATTTATTATAGCCCAAACATGGTTATGAAACATTCATTCATTCAACTTGGCGAGAAATATGAAACCGCTTGGGAAATAAAAAGAAGTCATCCGAACGGCATCCCAACATTTATGCAATGCTTTAATAAGAGCTGAAAACAGCTACTTTCTTTGTTATCCTAATCTCTCCAAAAAATACGGCTATTGTCGGAGTTTATTTAGACGTGATGGAGGTATTTTAAATTGATATCGCGATAAACTTTACACTCGTGAGTCTCGGCGATGACAACAAACCTTAAGCTAATCTGAATTTACATCCTTTCCAGCTGTTTGAAGTTGAGTATATTTTTATCACCACTAAATATAGTTGACGTCTACGTAGTTAACGTCTTATCTTTGGTAAAGCGGTAAAGTAGTTTATTTACTTTATTTGTATTTTATATAGAATATAAAAAGGGCCATTCGACTCCTTATTCCACACATCGCCTCGATTCAGGGAAGGGTCCTCCAGCAATTTGACGGTAGACTTAAACCAGTATCAAACAAGAAGTCTGAGAAAAAATGCACAGCAACGTTGACAAGGTAAAACAAGCACAATTATCTTAGGCTCCTACGTGAAGGTAACTTTAGCATAACACTACATTGACTGATTTATGAACCTAAGCCTTTCTTTTTTCGTTTCTTCGGATATGATTTGTCTCATTGCTTTCTTTCTGACTTTTATCTACAGGATGTATTCGTTGTTTTCTTGATGGCTGTTCCCTTGTCGCACTGTAACACATTACGAAACGCATTCACGGAAGAGGATTTAACTCCCATGGTAGAAAATCTCAAAGGGGACGGCAAAGAGGAACAAACAGCCATGGCAGATTACTTCCACCAAAAGAGATCTGATCTACAGAAACACATCAATGCATTCTCATGCGAATGTAAGAAACGTATTCACGATACACTGCTGCAATGTTGTCCAGAAAGCTGTACTCCTACACGCTACGTAAATTGTGAAAAAAATTTTTGCACAAGTTGTTACCATTAAAGCAAGAACTGAAGCACGTGTAACCTTCGAATGAATCAAGCAGAAATAATAATTAAAGATAGTGAATGAAATCTAACATTGTTTCATTAACTTGTCTTACGTTAACTGAGAAACAGCCACAGAGATAGCATAATGTACAAACGTGTAGAAGAAAGTCTCGAAGGGGTGGGATAGTTTTGACGATTTTAACGGTGGATAGTTGTCATGAATAAATTTCCTTCAGGAAATAGAATCAATATTAAGTACTATTAAGGTACTGTGTTCATTTTTTATATATATACGGATCATACGTTATATTCAGAACTAATAAGTCTTTGTCTGACAAATTAAACTAAAGCGTAACTCTATGACATTTAGCCGCTTAACATTTGAATCTTAATGAATTAAATTTAATTAAATGTAAACCTAGATTAAATAACCTATATTTTTCGAAACTCATCTCATACAGTCCTCCAAGTAAGTATTTTATGACTTAAATTGACTTGTCTTTTTTATCGTATTATAGGGCTTAGGCCTCAATTGGGAGAAAAGTTCTGTTCCTCTCTCTTGCCACTCCACTTTATTTTTTCTTTTCAAGTAACTGTGAAATGTAGATTAGTGGTTTGTATTTGTTGAACTGTGGCGAATAAATTGAAAAAAACTAATAACATAAATAAAATTAAGTAATTAAATTAAGTAAATGACATAATAAAATAAATATGACCTCTAACCGTACTTCATTGCTAGTTTCATAATTATACCTTAATTAATTCCCGATTGTATAGGCCCGAACACCTTTAGCAACTTTGCATTCCTGAGTCCTGATTCTTCTAGCCCTGAAGATAGTAAAGGAAAGTTGCTAGTCTGTTCATACAAGACCCTAATAATGATAAGAGCCGAGCAAAGCTCATCAAAACCATAATCTGGTGTTTCACCCCTCCCTACCTCTTTTCTTCCTTCGTTTCCGCTCCTTCGAATGTATTCCTCAGAGCTGTTTAATTGAATCATTGGCATGTAAAAATTCTCGTACGCTGCGCATGCTGTGTTTGTGTCCTCAGCTTGTGGTAAACTTCTTTAGGAAGCTTTGTTTTTTTTTTGTTTGTTTGTTTTTGTTTTTGTTTTTCCTGTGAATTTCATGAGGTTTGATGCATCTTTTAGATATGACTTCTATTGTGATGCGATCGGCTGAAGAATTTGATAGGTTTTCTCTCACTCCTTCCGTACTTGGGGTTTGTGTCTTACTTATAAAAAAGTAAAATTAAAGCCTTTATACAGTTCCAAGTGGCCCGTGGGGCCGGCGCTTGGCTCCGGTTTCCTTTAGCATGAAGCGGCTGGGAGTATTGGTACTCCCCCCGGATGGGATGCTTTTCCATCGCAGGGTTACACCCAGCATATTTGCCGGTACCCATTTGTACACCTGGGTGAAGAGAAGCACTGTGAAATCAAGATTGTGAAATCAAGATTGTGGCAAGAAACCAGAGAAACGACTAGTCACCTTACTGAAGGCGATAGTGCAGTTGCAGAGAAAACTGGAAAAAATAGGAAAAAGGAGGAAAAAGGACCAGAAGAAAAGGAGTTCTTAGTTCTAGTCTACCAGTCTAGGAACGAGATCGAGCACTAGATCATCCTATTGTTTCTTGGGTAGGACTCCATACGTTTGAATAAAGGGGGTAGGTTTCTCAAGAAACTTTAGCGCTGCGTCGATGGGAGAGTATAGCAGGTAATTTAGTGTTAACCTCTGAGTTGAAAACGTAAATTTGCCACCGTAAAGAGTTGAAAGGCTGACGTTTCGAGCGTTAGCCCTTCGTCTGACGAAGGACGACCTTTGGCCACCTGGAAATTACGATTCGATTCAAAGTTCAGATCCCACGGAACGAATAATTGTGAATCCGACCTGACGTAAACGTAAAATACTTCTCAAAATTATGAGCCAAAGTTGACCATCGACAACCAGGAGGTACATATAAGAAGCTTGAGCGATACTTTAGAACCGAATTCGATTTTAAATAAACTATTCAGAAGAGAGGTTTGCTTGATTACTAAAGTGCGTTCGTTTTCTTCACCGGACACTGCTCCGCATCACAGATGAACGCGACTGCAAAACAACAACTTAGTACATATGTTTTCGAGACGAAGGCAAAGCAAGCTGAATGGTGTCGTCGACGAAATCAGGACGGGGAAAACACGAATCTAGGCTTCATTTGCGCATGCCATGTTTTGCAAATTTATTTCCGATAGCCGTCCTAGCTCATTCCGTCTTCGGATCTTAAGTTCTCAATTTATAACGAATCTTGCATTGGTAAATATTCTTGTTACAATTAGGCTAAATGTGTTTGCCTTTTACTTGGTTTTTTGTATACGTTGTAATTATGGAGGTATTTTCACCAAATTTAAAGTAAAAGCGACTAGAACCATATTATCTACATTTTTGCAAAAATGACCATCATCCATAAAAACCAACATTATTGGCATAATGCGAGCACTGCTAGCATATCATGCTACTTTTGCGAACACAATCGAACAATTCCCTGAAACATGGACGGCACAGAAAAAATAGCTAGTCTGTCCTTTAAGAAGATCAAACCTCAAGGAATGAAAAGTAGACGAATGTTAGAAGAATTCCCAAGGAAATTTGTTTTTGGCTAAAACAAAAGGAAAAATCACTAAAAATCCACAGACTTCTCGTTCGCGGTGTTGCTGTACTTGTCGCAGGTCTACACGCGAGAGCTGCGTTTTTCACAGTTTCGGTTCCGTGATTATATTGCACAATTAATGTGTTATGCTAATTCGGATGAATCATTTCCGAATAAGACAGTCCTATTTGACATATTAGCATTCCAAGCTGATACAAATAAACAGAAAGTATCTCCATGCAGATTTACAACCTCCGCATGTGCATTAAACATGTATTTCATGGTTGCTGTAACACAAAACATAGGGTCACCCGTTTTTTCTTCTTCGAAATAATATTGATACTGATAACAATGAAAAGATAACACCATGATGCGCGGTAAGTATACAGACATAATGCTGCTCTGTGTTGAGAGTAAGAGAAATTTAAAGCTGAATTATTTCCGCCCTGCCACGGTTCAGAATGACATTCACATTTTAAACACTAAAAAAAAGCCAGTTAGCCCTCAAGCAAGTAGTATCATGGAGCTAAGTGTGTCTAATGGGTGTAAAGGCTCCTCCATATTTACATAAAAGTGATTACGAGCTTTATAACAGATTCAGGCGATTTCAACCGTGATCACCCACTTGTTCCTTCAGCCGAGGAATACTATCTACAATGACAGTATTTTAGCATTAAGAGTCGACCAATTGCTTAAGGTTGTAGTGACTCACAACTGCTTTTTGGGAATTTTTTCCCTTCAGTACTAGTCCTTTGGTAAATTGAAATTTAGACCAACTACGCTTGGAATCATTTCACGGAATCATCTCATTTTTCACTCAAAAATTCATTGAATAACCAAGGCCAAAATTAATCACCTATATCTTAATGATGATGACAGTAGATTGAAGCATTTTATCCGTGAATAAAAGGGTAAAAGTTTAGTTTTGTGACCAGACAATAAACTCTGAGCCGCTTGAAAATTACATCCACGGTAAACATCTTAACTTATGTGAAGCGGTAAAATAACGTTGTTCAATATATATATATATATATATATATATATATATATACACACACACACACACATATATATATATATATATGTGTGTGTGTGTGTGTGTGTGTGTGTGTGTGCGTGTGTGCGTGTGTGCGTGTGTGTGTGTGTGTACTCATCTCATCTTGAAAAAGACTGCCCTTTTGTGAAAAAGCTACAGGGCGAAGCTGGTCGAATAATGTTCCCTGAAATTATTGCAGAATTACTACTGATACGAGCCATTAACATTCATGTGAAAATTGCAGATTAGATTGAGGTAAACATGTTATTTGATCGGGTCGCTACCTTTCACGAAGTGTCTTTTCAACTTCTCACCGGAAACGGATAGAAATGACGAAACAAAATAGGTGTACGTGCAACACATAGCAGATGCGAGAATAGAGATGACATGTCTGTCGAAAATTAGATTTGTAACACAGTAATACAGAAATAGATAAGTCAATGATGTCTCTCTTGAAAGTTTGAATTTTGTCCTGCAGTCCCTTTCGTATTACAACATGGCCCCCACGAGAAAGCTTACAAGGCAAGTATCGTCGTTTGCTTTTTCTGTTTATGATTTATTGCTTGCTTTGCTTTATTTTTTAGCTTTGTTCTTTAAGCAGTCAACCAATTTTTTCTCCCACGCTTTTTTTTCGACTGATTTCGAATAGTCTATGTAACTCCTCTCTTGCAGTTCCATGGGAAGTTTCCTTTTATCAACTTCATCAAGTTTGATGACAACTAGGCTGTCATCCCTCTTTTCCATAAGTCGATGAAGGGCGAAATCCAGTTCTGATTCACAATAATTACTATCAAAAAAGTGAGTAGAGACAATAGCAAGGGTTTTTCTACACTTGTAAACACTGTCCACCACATTGTCCCTAAAAAGGACTCCTGGTGTGAAATTTCTGTAATGTATGCAGCACTTCAAGCCATGCTTTTTTTCCAGAGTTGGGATGAGAGTGTTTACCACCCAATCCGAGTCTTGTGAGCTGAATATAACGAATGCATCGTACTCAAATTTTAAATCTGAAAAATCAAAGAAGTACGTATTGTTGATCACAGATGATGTGAGTCTGAGTATAGCAGTTTTCTAATCTTACAAGAGCGATATATCCTAATTTCATGAGGGAGATGTGTCTCCTGAATGCCATCAATAATAGATCACAGACGACGTCAAAATGTAGCTAGAACTTATTAAAATGGTATGCGAGCATAACGAGGTGCATCCGACTGTTGGATTGAATTCAGGTGAATTTTGAGGGGAAAAAACTAACCTGGCATCGATGGTGTAAGATCGGTTTTCGATCGTCGGCAATAACGCAGGGTTGCTATTACGCCTGCCAAAAAGGCAATGGCCAAAACTACTCCAATAATGATAATGATCGTATTTTTGTTACCTGAAAAAAAAATCAAATCAAACAGGAAAGTAGTTGTCAGAAATTATCGTAGAAAGTCGTATCTTTTATGTATTGTTTGTGGAAACATGAATAAATCAAAAGGCAAAAAGTATGAAACATGAAATTTTAAAACGTAGGAAGTGGAGTTAAACACTAAAAAGATAATCATATTTTTACGTGAAAACTATCCCTTTAAAATAAAGTTTATGGCTGGTAGAACAATATTTGCAATGAATATATAAAACATATCTATTTGCCAAAATTGTAAATGGAGGCTGTATACTCAAGAAAAACAATTTGTGTCCTAATTTTAACTAATTCGCACTACTATTAGGTCTGTTGTAAAGTCTGCTGATCCCTTCAAGAAATTTAACAGTACGTTGTCATTAAGTACGTATTAAGAATTATGTGCCTCTGCAGAAAAAAAGTTTTCCATTTTCCAGTCAGAAAGTAGGCATGTGAAAGCTTAGATTCATTTCTACAGCTTTGATGTCTCAAAATTGAAGTATGCAATCTTTTAAAAGCAAACCTGGTGTTAATATTGTTGTTGTTGCTGGTGCTTTTGTTGTTGTTATTGCTATCGTTGATCCTAAAGAGAAAAGAAAAACAATTTGTGTCCTAATTTTAACTAATTCGCACTACTATTAGGTCTGTTGTAAAGTCTGCTGATCCCTTCAAGAAATTTAACAGTACGTTGTCATTAAGTACGTATTAAGAATTATGTGCCTCTGCAGAAAAAAAGTTTTCCATTTTCCAGTCAGAAAGTAGGCATGTGAAAGCTTAGATTCATTTCTACAGCTTTGATGTCTCAAAATTGAAGTATGCAATCTTTTAAAAGCAAACCTGGTGTTAATATTGTTGTTGTTGCTGGTGCTTTTGTTGTTGTTATTGCTATCGTTGATCCTAAAGAGGATCAAAAATTTGTTAATAAATATTTTTTTAGAATTACAAAGTTATAGCAGGTACAACATGACCCACAACAACAATACGACTACTATTACTACCACTACTACTAATACTACTACTTCTACTACTACGACTAATAATGAAAATAACAATAATAATAATAACAATAATAATAATAATTCAAGATTATTCACAAAATACAATTGATAAAATGAGTGTACGAGATTTCATAAAAATTCAAAATCACGTATAATACAAAAGCATTTAGCTTGAAAATTGCCCTTAAAAAAAAGGTTCTGGTAACACTTGGAGTTAACGTGCGTAACTCTTACATCAAAAAATGCCGTAATTCCTCTTGACCAGAAACCTCCCGCCTTGATGTCTAATCTAGCCTCAGAGCCTGTGACGGCACTTCTCAAATGTAGCCGTTCGTTGTCGAGGGTTTGAAAATCGGGCGCGCAGTCCAAATTTCGTCTAACTTGACTTTGTGTGATACTTCTTTCATGTAAATTTTCAATGAGTAATAGAATGATTTCTCATGCAATTTGGTGTAAATAAGCGCTTTTAAGTTTTTCAAAGGCTACAAACTGCGTTCGCTAAAAAAGGGCTCATGCAAAATTGTTGTCTTGAAAAAATTAATTCTACTCATGCTTATTACCTATACACACATTGATATTATAACGAAGACTCACCTTTCTTACAGTTTTTTTCATCTGAAACAAAACAATCTGAAAAAAAAAGAATGGAAAAATGCTGAAGAAAAAAACAGGCTGCTTAACAGTAAATTGCAATCTAATTGCGAAGTGAATAATCTAACCGAAAATTAGCTCAGTGAAACAGGATGTGGAATAAGTTATTAGAAAAGAAACGTTTTCTGGATCTTCTTAATGAAAGATTCATTTTTGGCTTAAAAGGTTCGAATCAACACAAATGTAAACTCCTGCTGCTTATTTCGATGCTTGCAGAGGAAAAAAAACAAATCATTTTGGTTCCGCGTTCTGTTCTCCGCAAGCCATTTTTGAAAGGCTAAGAGACTCTAGCTCTTTCAGAAATGTTTTCCGAAGAAAAAACTTGGAAGTCCAGATGATCTTGCAGATCCTTTGAAGACAGCGCACTGTCTTAACTTGAGAAAATCATGGCACGCCGATCGATTTCATTTATTGCCTTGAAGCCGAAGCCGTGATTGGAATAAAGAATGATAGGCTTCGATTTCGAATGTAATATTCTTAACCATGTTGGATCATGTGAGGGTTATTCTCTACACAGCATGGCGGGCTGTCAATATCTGGCAAGCTGGTAATATCTGTTCAGAATTCTCTTTCTTGATACTTGAGTATCTATACGATATTTAATAACCATAACCCTCTTGATAATAGTTAACACGTCTCATTAGCTTACAGGGGATCGAAAACTTGTATCCAGTCGGGAATGGCAGAAGAGTAACCTAATGAAAAAGAAAATGTAAATACAAATTGAATGTTAATGACGAAAGAGGTATCTGCTTTACCTTTCAGCAGGCACGCCTAAAGCGCAAAGGCCTTCCAGCTAAGATGTAAGATAACAAACAGCCTAGTTCAGTTCCTCTTTCCACACTTCTTGTGACGCTATCACGCGATAAAAATTTCGATCTCATGATTCAACTGTTAGTTGATATGCACGACACAAATTACTTACAAGAGCAGTCACGTCCCATCCACTTTGCAATTTCAATGGTATTTTATAGCTCGTAAAATTCTGAAACAGACACAGTAAAATTATGCTAACTGGGCATGTATCTCAGTTTTTTTTCGCTTAACTAAAATCTATATCCGCCAAGTACGCTTTCAGAAATCGTTTAGCAATAGCCTAAAACCACATGAAGTGTAACCCATTGAAGTGCAGCAGAGTGCCATCATCTTAGTACTAAGGTGTACTGCAATGGGTAGTGTGCTGGGTGTGGCGTCAGTGACCGCTACAAAACGAAAGAGAAATGAAAGGTACGATCTTCCAGTAAAGGTGACACTGCTCACAGGATCCGACCTTACGAGAACCTCAGCTCATCAGAGTATGGTTTGTGAACAGGTTAATAGTTATAGGCCTGGGCTGCGGTAATGTAAATGGCCGTGCAGTAAGGGATCATTCGTAAAGTAGTCTGTCACAGATATGCGTGACGGTTCTGTACATTGTTGTTCGCAACGCGTGCATTTCTTTAGGGGTATTACTGGGCAGTTTCGGAAAGGGAATTTTACATTTTTCTTTATATCCTCTGGTAAACGGTGCCTCGATTGCGTTTTTTTTTGTTCACAAAATAACAGACATTTTTATCAGATCTCAAACTTCAACAAGCCAAGACATGTTTAATTAGATAAAATAGAATTTTAAATCGTAAAATGTGATTCTGCAATTCCAGGAACTTTAGTACCTGACAAGTTGAATAATTAAAAAAAAAACAACAAAAACGTAGATATGTGTTGTGTGTGGGGGGGGGGGGGGGGGATTCTGGACCTCTCGTGCCCTCCTCCCTGATCCCCCACTGAAATTGTCAAAGTTCTTTATCAAATCAGAAACATTTGCCAGCAAGTCTTAAGAACGATCTCATTGAGAAGACATAAGTGATAGTTTTAGTAAGTCTATATCTTCTTTTGTGAAAAAAAAAGCATATGAGAGTTGTGGGAGGCAGTCTCAGTGCAATTAAGTGGTAGACTTCTTGTGAACAGACACACCACGAAGCAAAAATGAGTAAACTCGTCAATTAATGAAAAACATGCTCCGAAGGGGAAATTTTCCTCACCTTGCCAAAGTCCCTGCATTTGATGACAGTATCGTTTATGACATAGATTACTCTATATCCAGTCCAGTTTAACGCGTCATCTGGTAAAAAGTCAAAGAACCTTAATTCAGCTGGTTGTGCTAATTCTACATTGCAGCCTAGAAAGTGTCCTAGGCCTTGGAAAAGTTTGCTCCTTAATCCTACATTAGAGGAGGAAATTGTAAAATTAAGACCTCGTGAGACAGATTCGAATTTTCATCTTTCGAAGCCTAAAATTAGAGCAAATTTAGCTTTTCTTATGGTTACTTACCTGTTTGTAACAGGTAAGTAATTTAATTAATTTATTCGTTTTATTTACTATCACCTCTTCGCCCTGGTAAGATTAACTGACATGCTCTCAACCGATGGGAGTGCCAAAAAATATATATGTTCAATTTACGAGACTTTTGTAAGCCGACACCCTATTAAAAAGCGGACACCTGGAATAAATCATCGTGGGGTCTTCTTTTAAGAGGTTCACTGCGTGTAAAATTTGACTAGAAATTTCAACAAAGCGAAATTTTTTTTCTGAGAATTGCATCCAAATGGTATAGCTTTTAAATTTAGGATATCTTCTCCGGAAATACAGTCAAACTTGTATTATAAGCGTTTACCCATGGGGAATGGCGTGCGGACCGCTTAATAAAGGCTGACCGCAGTGATGATTAAAACTGGTGTGATCACCTTGCTTACCTTTGAAAGGTTTCCATGACACCTCCCCTTCATATTCTCCAGAGCTTTTCCAAGTCAAGCTGATAGACTCGGGAGAATAATATTCATCTGAAAAAAAGGAAAGGAAAAAAGGTACACAATACTGCCACGTTGTAGAATGTCAGTTACGGTTTACCAGTCTCACGCCCGATACAAACTCTCAAACTTGTTTACTGCTCTTTAATAGGCTGTTGTTGGCATTTTGGGTGCAAAATTATGTTTCCTACGCTACATCCAATCTGATCACATTGTCAACAGTCCGTGACCTGAGTTAGTATGAAGTTTGTAATCCCTATTGCCGTGAGAGGAAAGTGAGTCTCAAATGTGAATTTAGAAAATGTGTTTACCTCTTCCTTTAACCCTTTACACCCTAAAATCAGTATACATATTCTCCATACTGTTCTTTATACATTTCTTAAGGTGCTGACAAGGAGAATTTGTTTACCGATCAAAAACTTCTTTCGTTGGTGATCATTTCCTTTATTCTCATAACCTTAATATGTGATTTAGGGGTAATATTGTAGGGAGAAATTGCATGCTAATCACTGCTAAGGGTTACTAGAGTGAAACGGAATATCAAACATTTTTGCGAAACTGGCCTCCTGTACTATCAAAGCATTTTGCATCAATACCTGTTCAATTTGAACATGGTCGTAGTGAGAAATAAGCAAAATAATACAAGGACTGAGCACTCTCAAAGAGAAAACCTAACACAAAACTCCCTACGGTACCACATTAAGCGAAAACTGAGTCCATCATGTGAAGAGCCCTTGTGATTGACCAGTATTCGGCTAGAAAACCTAAATAGGCAGCTTATATTATGCTTTGAAGATTGAAATGATCATTTCATCTTACCGCTTGTGCCAAGGGAAGATGATGATAACACAGGTGCTGTAGTTTATGATGGAAACTCTTTGCCCGTGAGCATTTGCTTTCATGTTTACGAACTCTGACTAAATATAGCAAAAACCTGTCTGAAAACGTTCTAAAATCATCTTTCTCAGGAGCCATCCTGGACATATAGTCAACTGTTTTACGGTAAATACATTCGCCGTTCGTCATTTTACAGTTTCCTCACAGTATTTTGAATCTTGTCCGGAAGAATCGGGTGTCTACAAAACGAAGACCGAAGACCGAAGACCAAAGACCGAAGACCGAAGACCATAATTTTTTTGCCCGAATAAGGCACGGACATGAAATTAGAAGATCCTCGCAGCTAAGAACACTACTGAAACTAGTAGTTGTAAATAGGACCTGAAAAAATTCAGGCCCGTACGGGATTTGAACCCATGACCTCTGCGATACCGGTGCAGCGCTCTACCAATTGAGCTAACAAGCCAACTGGGAGCTGGTCAATGAATTGGGTACAAATAAACATCCAAGTGAATGAAGAATTTAGATATATGAAAATTCACATATTTGCACTGCGGTGGAGAGATGAAATTAGAAGATCCTCGCAGCTAAGAACACTACTGAAACTAGTAGTTGTAAATAGGACATAGCGATAGTCGACCGATAGTCGACCGATAGTCGACCGATAGTCGACCGATAGTCGACCGATAGTCGACCGATAGTCGACCGATAGTCGACCGATAGTCGACCGATAGTCGATAGATAGTCGACCGATAGTCGACCGATAGTCGACCGATAGTCGACCGATAGTCGACCGATATATAGACCGATAGTCGACCAATGCATCACCTGATATGTACACATTTATCAGTCGACTGTCGGCCGATATATCGACTGATAGTCGGTCGACTGTCGACCGATAGTCGACCTATAGTCGGTCGATAGTCGACCGATATATCGATGTATCAGACATATGTCGACCGACAATCGACCGATTCTATCGGTCGATTGTGACGATATTTTGCATAAATATTTATCAAACCGATAATCGACCGATATATCGGCCAACTGTCGGCCGATGCATCAGCCGATATGTGCACATTTATCGGTCCACTGTCGGCCGATATATCGGTCCACTGTCGGTCGATCTATCGGTCGACTATCTTTTGTTGTTCTTTTTTCGATCGTCGGTCGACTGTCGATGGCAGGTACAACATGACCCACCACTATAGTCGACCTATAGTCGGTCGATAGTCGACCGATATATCGGCCGATGTATCAGCCGATATGTCGACCGAGGCCACCTATAGTACACATGATTCGTTTAGTCACTTCAAGGCCTTCTTCGGACATCCTTCCAGTAATTGACGAAGATATTTTGCATAAATATTTATCAAACAGTAAAGGTGATTTAGCGTCGAAAGGGTTAAATTTTTAAAATTTGCAAGAATTTTACTTAATACAGGAAAAAAAAGTTAACCTGATCGTGTTATAGGTAGTTGTCAGTAATTATCGTAGAAAGTCGTATATTTTATGTATTGTTTGTGGAAACATGATTAAATCAAAAGGCAAAAAGTATGAAACATAAAATTTTAAAACGTAGGAAGTGGAGTTAAACATTAAGTACGTATTAAGAATTATGTGCCTCTGCATAAAGAAATTTTCCATTTTCCAGTCGGAAAGTAGGCATGTGAAAGCTTAGATTCATTTCTACAGCTTTGGTGTCTCAAAATTGAAGTATGCAATCTTTTAAAAGCAAACCTGGTTTTGATATTGTTGTTGTTGTTGCTGATACTTTTGTTGTTCTTATTTCTATCATTGATCCTAAAGAGGGTCAAAAATTTGTTAATAAATATCTTTTTAGAATTACAAAGTTATGGCAGGTACAACATGACCCACCACAACAATTCGACTACTATTACCACCACTACTGCTGCTGCTGCTGCTGCTGCTGCTACTACTACTACTACTACGACTAATAATGAAAATAACAATAATAATAATAATAATAATAATGTTGTCTTTGAAAAAATTAACTCTACTCGTACTTATTACCTATACACACATTGATATTATAACGAAGACTCACCTTTCTTACAGTTTTTTTCATCTGAAACAAAACAATCTGAAAAAAAAAAGAATGGAAAAATGCTGAAGAAAAAAAAACAGGCTGCTTATCAGTGAATTGCAATCTAATTGCGAAATGAATAATCTAACCGAAAATTAGCTCAGTGAAACAGGATGTGGAATAAGTTATTAGAAAGGAAACGTTTTCTGGATTTTCTCAATGAAAGATTCATTTTTCGCTAAAAAGGCTCGAATCAACACAAATGTAATCTCCTGCTGCTTATTTCGATGCTTGCAGAGGAAAAAAAAATTATTTTGGTTCCGCGTTCTGCTCCCCGCAAGCAATTTTTGAAAGGCTAAGAGACTCTAGCTCTTTCAGAAATGTTTTCCGAAGAAAAAACTTGGAAGTCCAGATGATCTTGCAGATCCTTTGAAGACAGCGCACTGTCTTAACTTGAGAAAATCATGGCACGCCGATCGATTTCATTTATTGCCTTTGGCTTGACGGCATTCGATGTTATTTGACGAAGCCGTGATTGGAATAAAGAATGATAGGCTTCGATTTCGAATGTAATATTCTTAACCAAGTTGGATCATGTGAGGGTTATTCTCTACACAGCATGGCGGGCTATCAATATCCGGAAAGCTGGTAATATCTGTTCAGAATTTCTCTTTCTTGATACTTGAGTATCTATACGATATTTAATAACCATAACCCTCTTGATAATAGTTAACACGTCTCATTAGCTTACAGGGGATCGAAAACTTGTATCCAGTCGGGAATGGCAGAAGAGTAACCTAATGAAAAAGAAAATGTAAATACAAATTGAATGTTAATGACGAAAGGGGTATCTGCTTTACCTTTCAGCAGGCACGCCTAAAGCGCAAAGGCCTTCCAGCTAAGATATAAGATAACAAACAGCCTAGTTCAGTTCCTCTTTCCACACTTCTTGTGACGCTATCACGCGATGAAAATTTCGATCTCATAATTCAACTGTTAGTTGATATGCACGACACAAATTACTTACAAGAGCAGTCACGTCCCATCCACTTTGCAATTTCAATGGTATTTTATAGCTCGTAAAATTCTGAAACAGACACATTAAAATTATTCTAACTAGGCATGTATCTCAGTTTTTGTTCGCTCAACTAAAATCTATATCCGCCAAGTGCGCTTTCAGAAATCGTTTAGCAATAGCCTAAAACCACATGAAGTGTAGCCCATTGAAGTGCAGCGGTGTGCCATCATCTTAGTACAAAGGTGTACTGCAATGGGTGGTATGCTGGGTGTGGTGTGGGTTGAAACCATCATTGTATGGATGATAAACGTCAGTGACTGCTACAAAACGAAAGAGCAATGAAAGGTACGATCTTCCAGTAAAGGTGACACTGCTCACAGGATCCGACCTTACGAGAAACTCAGCTCATCAGAGTATGGTTTGTTAACAGGTTAATAGTTATAGGCCTGGGCTGCGGTAATGTAAATGGCCGTGCAGTAAGGGATCATTCGTAAAGTAGTCTGTCACAGATATGCGTGACGGTTCTGTACATTGTTGTTCGCACCGCGCGCATTTCTTTAGGGGCATTACTGGGCAGTTTCGGAAAGGTAATTTTACATTTTTCTTTATATCCTCTGGTAAACGGTGCCTCGATTGCGTTTTTTTTTTCCGGCTATGGTTAAGTAATTTTACATTTTTCTTTATATCCTCTAGTAAACGGTGCCTCGATTGCGTTTTTTTCTTTTCCGCCTATGCTTAAGGCGGGAATTCTTTGTTCACAAAATAACAGACATTTTTATCAGATCTCAAACCTCAACAAGCCAAGAAATGTTTAATTAGAGAAAATAGAATTTCAAATAGGAAAATGTGATTCTGCAATTCCAGGAACTTTATTACCTGACAAGTTGAATAATTAAAAAAAAAAAAACATAACAAAAACAAAAACGTAGGTATGTGTTGTGGGGGGATTCTGGACCTCTCGAGCCCTCCCTGATCCCCCACTGAAATTGTCAAAGTTCTTTAACCAAATCAGAAACATTTGCCAGCAAGTCTTAAGAACGAGCTCATTGAGAAGACATAAGTGATAGTTTTAGTAAGTCTATATCTTCTTTTGTGAAAAAAAAAGCATATGAGAGTTGTGGGAGGCAGTCTCAGTGCAATTAAGTGGTAGACTTCTTGTGAACAGACACACCACGAAGCAAAAATGAGTAAACTCGTCAATTAATGAAAAACATGCTCCGAAGGGGAAATTTTCCTCACCTTGCCAAAGTCCCTGCATTTGGTGACATTATCGTTTATGACATAGATTACTCTATATCCAGTCCAGTTTAACGCGTCATCTGGTAAAAAGTCAAAGAACCTTAATTCAGCTGGTTGTGCTAATTCTACATTGCAGCCTAGAAAGTGTCCTAGGCCTTGGAAAAGTTTGCTCCTTAATCCTACATTAGAGGAGGAAATTGTAAAATTAAGACCTCGGGAGACAGATTCGAATTTTCATGTTTTCGAAGCCTAAAATTAGAGCAAATTTAGCATTTCTTATGGTTACTTACCTGTTTGTAACAGGTAAGTAATTTAATTAATTTATTCGTTTTATTTACTATCACCTCTTCGCCCTGGTAAGATTAACTGACATGCTCTCAACCGATGGGAGTGCCAAAAAATATATACGTTCAATTTACGAGACTTTTTTAAGCCGACACCCTATTAAAAAGCGGACACCTGGAATAAATTTCCTTTCTTGGGGTCTTCTTTTAAGAGTTTCACTGCGTGTAACATTTGACTAGAAATTTCAACAAAAAGAAATTTTTTTTTCTGAGAATTGCGTCCAAATGGTATAGCTTTTAAATTTAGGATATCTTCTCCGGAAAATACAGTCAAACTTGTATTATAAGCGTTTACCCATGGGGAATGGCGTGCGGACCGCTTAATACAGGCTGACCGCAGTGATGATTAAAACTGGTGTGATCACCTAGCTTACCTTTGAAAGGTTTCCATGACACCTCCCCTTCATATCCTCCAGAGCTTTTCCAATTTTTTAAAGTCAAGCTGATAGACTCGGGAGAATAAACGGTATCATTTTTTCCCGTCGGCTCAATAAAGCAATTATCCGCACCTGAAGAAAAGGAAAGGAAAAAAGGTACACAATACTGCCATGCTGTAATAGAATGTCAGTTACGGTTTACCGGTCTTACGCCCGATACAAACTCTCAAACTTGTTTACTGCTCTTTAATAGGCTGTTGTCACGCGAGCAAGCACCTCATTTTGAAATTTGGGTGCAGAATTATGTTTCCCACGCTACATCCAATCTGATCACATTGTCAACGGTCCGTGACCTGAGTTAGTATGAAGCTTGCGATCCCTATTGCCGTGAGAGGAAAGTGAGTCTCAAATGTGAATCTAGAAAATGTCTGTTTACCTCTTCCTTTAACCCCTTCACATTTTAAAATCAGTGTACATGTTCTCCATACTCTTCTTTATAAATTTCTTAAGGTGCTGACAAGGAGAATTTGTTTACCGATCAAAAGCTTCTTTCGTTGGTGATCATTTCCTTTATTCTCATGACCTTAATGCGTGAATCAGGGGTGATATTGTAGGGAGAAATTGCATGCTAATCACTACTAAGGGTTACTAGAGTGAAACGGAATATCAAACATTTTTATGAAACTGGCCTCCCGTACTATCAGGCCATTTTGCATTAATACCTGTTCAATTTGAACATGGTCGTAATGAGAAATAAGCAAAATAATACAAAGACTGAGCACTCTCAAAGAGAAAACCAGGCACAAAGCTCCATACGGTACCAGATTAAGCGAAAACTGAGACCATCATGTGAAGAGCCCTTGTGATTGACTAGTATTCGGCTAGAAAACCTTAATATGCAGCTTATATCATGCTTTGAAGATTGAAATGATCATTTCATCTTAACGCTTGTGCCAAGGGAAGATGATGATAACACAGGTGCTGTAGTTTATGATGGAAACTCTTTGCCTGTGACCATTTGCTTTCATTTTTACGAACTCGGACTAAATATAGTCTGAAATCTGTCTGATTTCAGGTCACTTTTATTACACATAGCAAAATAACCAGCCACATGCCAAATGCGTGGCCATATTTAAATTCCCAGAATGATTTTCACCAACTAAACATTCTTTTATTACCTCGTATTTCTCTCTTCGTTCGCTGATCAAGATATTGTTTCTGCTTCTTCGGACGTGAACGAAGGCAACCTAAAATAAAATTGCTGGAGAGAGGTTAGCTAAGCGATAGCAGAATAATGCTTCATTGGGTAAAGAGTTACTAGTCGACCTTACTCCTTCAAGAAGAGTAGCAAACGCAGTCGAAACGTCGTCAGTCACATCGGAAATGGAAACACTGCAAGAACTGGTGTGTCCACGGCTGTGAATGATCACCACCCCTTTTACGGAAAAGGGGAATGTTTCACGTAATTATTACTTAAACCTAACCGATCTTTAACGAACAGACTGGTTGAAAGAATCTCTATTTGCATTTCAGATAAAATAGTACCTTTCAAAAGATTTTACTTACGTTTCCTTACAAAACTTAGGCACTCTTCATAAGAAGACTGACGACGTTCACGTAACTGCAAGAGGAAATAAGAAGGTATCAGTTGAATAACTTCCAACCAATGTAACCAAATCACGGAGTAGAAAATGGTCATGAATAGAACATGTTCCCATCTAAAATAAGGCTTCTCCAATGAGTAGATAATGAAGGCACTGTATGTAAATATATTTCATGGCTAACACCATTGCACACAGAATCATTTATTCGTTTTTTATGTACGAATAAAAAAATCAGGCTGACCAAAAAATTATGAAACCTCAGTTAGCTGTTTAGTTCAGCCTAACGTCTTGTAGTTAGAGACGATTAACAAGCCTCAAATTTAAACAAGTTTTCATTTTGAAAATTTGGTGGAAATTGTTGAGTATGGAGTTTGAAGTTTAGAAAAAGTAGAGTAAAACGCTTTCCAAGCTATTTTGTGTTTCCAAAATTATTAACGCGGAAAAGAACTAAAATGTCGAATTACCTCACACACAAGAATTTTGTGGTAGATTATGTGTTGCGCGAATAAATGTAACCAAAAATAAACTATATTGGTGCCACGGATACCTGTTAGAACAAAATGCAGACAGCAGACTGCAGACCGGATACAAAATATAGACTGCAGACTGCAGAGTGGGTACAAAATGCAAACTGAGAATCTGAAGAGTTTTTACGTCTGGTAGATAATAACATGTCATCTTACAGCTTACCGAGCGTCACGCAATCGCTTTCCCGCGATCAACCTTCACGATTATTTGCACTATTGTGGAAAATTCCTGGCCCATTTCTCGATGAAAATCGATCGAATTATAATTTAAAGCCTTCAATATAGTCTTCTTACTTTGCGCGCGAGTTGGTTGCTGTGATGTCTGTACAGATTTTACCAACGTAATAAAAGTAGATGACGTGAATAACAGTGATGCTAAAGCAAGCTTAAAACGGCAGAAATCGCCAGAAACTACAACGGATGTACGGGGTATGAGTAAGTTTTATTGATTTTATGAGAAAAATCTTCATATTTCGAAATATTATCGTTGTAAATCGACCATATTTCGTTCCCTATATTATTCCTTATAACATTTTAAATTTTCAACGGTTCCTCTCGTAACTTAACACCTAGTCATTCAACGCGTGACGCGTTCATGAATTAATCGTTGGCTTTTTCTCGAGACGTGAGCTTGGGCCGCCTGTGACAAGACAATTGCGTAAACAATACTTAATATAATAACATTATACACAAAAAACACGGGATTTTAGATCATGTATTTATTAAAAAAGAATATCCATACAACTACAATGAACACAGACATAAGATTCCCCTTTCTGATCGTGAAATTAATACGATTCGCACTGTTATCGTAGCTACGTTCCCTGGCATCAAGTGAATACAACATGGCTCTCATAACTCCACTGATAAACCGGACTTAAAGGCCCTTGATGTAACGCGCGCCGCGACCCAATTTCCTGTAACACGAAATTCCCAGATCACTGAAAACGTTCTAAAATCATCTTTCTCAGGAGCCATCCTGGACATATAGTCAACTGTTTTACGGTAAATACATTCGCCGTTCGTCATTTTACAGTGTCCTCACAGTATTTTGAATCTTGTCCGGAAGAATCGGGTGTCTACAAAACGAAGACCGAAGACCGAAGACCAAAGACCGAAGACCGAAGACCGAAGACCATAATTTTTTTGCCCGAATAAGGCACGGACATGAAATTAGAAGATCCTCGCAGCTAAGAACACTACTGAAACTAGTAGTTGTAAATAGGACCTGAAAAAAATTCAGGCCCGTACGGGATTTGAACCCATGACCTCTGCGATACCGGTGCAGCGCTCTACCAATAAAGCTAACAAGCCAACTGGGAGCTGGTCAATGAATTGGGTACAAATAAACATCCAAGTGAATGAAGAATTTAGATATATGAAAATTCACATATTTGCACTGCGGTGGAGAGATGAAATTAGAAGATCCTCGCAGCTAAGAACACTACTGAAACTAGTAGTTGTAAATAGGACATAGCGATAGTCGACCGATAGTCGACCGATAGTCGACCGATAGTCGACCGATAGTCGACCGATAGTCGACCGATAGTCGACCGATAGTCGACCGATAGTCGACCGATAGTCGATAGATAGTCGACCGATAGTCGACCGATAGTCGACCGATATATAGACCGATAGCCGACCAATGCATCACCCGATATGTGCACATTTATCGGTCGACTGTCGGCCGATATATCGGTCGACTATCGGTCGACTATTGGTCGACTGTCGGTCGACGATCGGTCGACAATCGACCGACTATTGGTCGATAGTCGACCGATAATCGACCGATATATCGACCGACTGTCGGCCGATGCATCAGCCGATATGTGCACATTTATCGGTCCACTGTCGGCCGATATATCGGTCCACTGTCGGCCGATCTATCGGTCGACTATCGACCGATCGTCGGTCGACTGTCGACCGATAGTCGACCTATAGTCGGTCGATAGTCGACCGATATATCGGCCGATGTATCAGCCGATATGTCGACCGAGGCCACCTATAGTACACATGATCCGTTTAGTCACTTCATTCCAGGAACGTCAGCGACACTGACAGTTTGCGTTACAATTTTTATTTGCTGCTTTGCATGGACAACAACCTTGACTACTCTTTCGAGCGCAAGCTCCTCTCCATGGACAGGAAACTTCGACTAACCCTCGGTCCTATTGACCTAGGATGGCAAATTTGATGAATGGATGAAAACGTGGTGGATCAACATTTTCACCTTCTTCGAAATACTCGCCAGGATTTTCGTGTTCCTCTTTAGGAACAACCGATCCATAAGTGTTTACTGCCTCGGAATCTACAAAATCAATGGATTCATCCGATTCCATGCCGGATTAAAACGTATAGAACTGTTTTAAACAGAATTATTTTGACAAGCTCTTTATTATCATCGGAGAAAACGCAGAAGGTATTTTGAGACAACGTGACAAGGTAAAAACAACTGACCAATCAGAGGCGCTATTAAACAAAAGCGGAGGTTCAAAACAAAAACAAACGACCTCGTTGCATCAAGGTTGGAAATGGGCCTTTAAGGTATTTTAATCCTAACATTCTTTCTCCCACGTGAGTGACAATTTTAGAAATGAAACCGTCGTATATCAAAATTCTTCGAGGTCCAGTGGACAGGAAGTTTTAAAAAGATGTTCTAGAAACTAGATAGTTTACGTGCAAAAGGCACAACGCTATCACAGAGGTCATCGGCATGGCCAAGGTATTTGTAGGTAAGATTGATTAATCGAGTGTGTTATTTTCGTCAGTCATCTTATCATTACATAGCGCAGCCTCATAGCGCAAAAACCGAAAACTAACCTCAATAAACACATCGTAACTTAAAAAGAAAGTCCTGTAGAGCTAGCCATCAAACCCTAATGTGATATTCCTACTGAAAAATTTGAAAGTAGTATTTGAATTTTCTGCATTTCGCAGCTTGTTTTGTTTTGATTATTTTCTTGTTTTTAGTGTTATCGGTGCTTTTGTTTTCGATTTCTCCATTCGGTTTTGTAGGTAATTAGAGTAACTAGCAATGATTTTGGATGAAGACGACTTCGGAATTGGAGATTATGAAATTACGTCCCTCGTGGTTAATCGTGGTGATTACGAGTTAAAGTTCTAGACTTACAGTAAACATTCCTTGCCTTTTAGTTTGTCTTTGAACTAAAATAAACATTGCATTAAATAAGTGTAAGAACTGCTTAATCACCCCTTCATTTGATGTTGATTCCGCGTCATCTGCTTGAAACCTTAGGCCACATCTCCTCCGGCAGAGTTTCATCTGCCCAGCTAACTTCGATTCATCATGAATTCCAGAAGGGCTTGGACACAGTACGCACAGAATTGCAACATTGCTCCAAATGAACACGATTGCAATCACACCGTTGAAGACAGACTTATACATTGTTGATAGTCGAGATTCTAGCGAGCTCAACTATTCGCACAGACTTATAGCAGTAGTGGAATGACGTTTGCATTGTGGCGTGGTTGTCATTTATATCTCACATGACAATTATTGATTGTTATAATCACGTTTCTATGGATCACTCTATAATTGGCTGAAACAACGTGCTTTGTCATAGTACATATGCATGAACGGTGTCACGCCATGGTCCAATTTGTGCAATACGCGACCATTTCTCGAACTTTCCCCTCGTTTTTGTTTCCTTCTTTTTCACCCACAAGTCTTGCATGACTTTTAGAACGAACATTGAAACGAGTTATTGGCTCTAATTGATACAGAACAATGTGTAGGTAACAACAGCACACATATGACAATATTTCGAAATTTAATTTATTGATTACATTTGATTCTATGATTAACCGCGTGATTGACATATCAATGGCGTAATCGCTACGTAAGTTGATATTCAGTTTTAAGAAATGAATAGATCCCGAAAACAAAGACCCCAACACGAAGTCCCCGAAAACTAAGACTTGAAGACGAAGACCCCTTATTTTCTTTACTGATATTGATAAAAGATTCCATCAAACAGATCTGTCAATTGCTCCCCCTGTCTTGCGAATTAACTGCATGTAGGAACCGTGTAATTCGGAATTCCGTAATTCCTTCAAACTGCAGAAATTTCCCACACTGCAAAAGCCCCCACCTGCTTTCTGCCCAGAAGGTCTAGAAGCTTCGGCAAATGGAATGGTACAGACACTGCGCGAGCAGTTTTGCCAAAACCAAATCGACACTCTTAATGTCGTGCTAGGCCGCCTTGAATGAATGAAGAGTAATGCCGTGACACCGGCTGGCGTTTTCACAACGGCAAGCCGACCTTTTCTTTGAACAAAAACGGCAGGGAAATTTTGAAGGACACTAGTTTTTTTCGAAAATAAATTAAGAAAGCAACAAAAAGGAAAAGAGAGAAAATAAAGCGAACTCCGCTATAAAATTTAATAAAATTGTCGGCAAGTTATCAAAATCGTTTAGAATGTTCGACTTCCTGCGTAAGGATAAGGTTTCTCAATTTAGCCCTAGAGGATTCATCGATGCTTTCTCCGCATTCTCATTGATATGATTCATCGGCATTCTCATTGATATGCTTAACCGCATCCTCATTGATGTCACGTTCGTATCACGTTCGATTGACACGAACATGATATCAAATATAAGAATGTGGATAAAGCACAGACAAACCTTCTTGATCTAAACAAAGAAAGCTTATGAATGCGCAGGAAGTCGAATATTTTTAACAACTCTGATAATATTTATTTAATGAACCGATGATCCGCTAAATGTTTTAAAGGGCAAACCCAAAAATACATGTTTTTCTTATACTATGTAAAAAGTGGCGTAGAAAACGAATTTGAAATTAGTTTTGTCCAATTCGACTTATTTTAGGAGAAAATCGGCATTTTCAACTGAAATTCCATTTCCGGTAAAAACAATAGCGAGAAGTCGTGACGTAAGCGGTGGATCTAAAATATTGCGCAACACATATTCCCCAGTAGAACTGGTGTGGGAGTTCGTGTAAATAGCTGTAGTTCGGAAGATGTTTTTTCAGAAGATAGCAACTCGAATGCCTTAAGCTTAGTACATGACAGCGCTGGGGATAATCCAGAATCTTCAGGAGAGTCTGGGCCACGTCCTTAACAATATGAGCCGCGTAGGGTTCACCGAAGCGATCCGCAAGAAGACAGTACAGAACATGTCGACAGCGATGCGACCGTCTCGGAAACTCAGACTGGTATTTTATTTACTTTGTGATTTATTTGTATTTAACATGAAAATGCAATAAAGCGAGGGTACAATCTAAAGGAATGCAACATAATTTTTTTTAACTTGAGCTTCTGAAAGTGTTTTATTTAAAATTATCAAAGGTGCGAGTGTGGAACTTGTCAACCAATGCCGACAACTCATGAAAGTGCTTGTTGTACGGAAATCGGGCAATTGTGGCAAAATGGCCTGAAACCCAGATAAGTTGTATCACTGAGCATCCAGGTTTTCAGTCAATTTGCTTCGATTTCTGGGTGCTGGAGACGGCCAAGTACGCGTACAGGCAGCAGCAAAGCACAGATAATCACACCGGAGACGACTAAGCTAAATATTTTCTGTTTCATCTGTTTTGTTACATTTTGAGATCGATTTACTTGAGTTGTTTCTGCCATTGATTTGCTAATACAGTACTAGAGCTTCTTTCCTGGCAGGAAATTTCGCTAAATTGCCTACAGATAGCTTGTTCGTTGGTGTTGGGGATATCTCGGCAAACACTTTAGGGTCGCTGTGCTATCTTGTGCGGTAAACAATATCCTTCATCTCAGAAGCATTTCCATCGATAAACAAGTTGTATCATGTACATTTCCTTGTGTGGCCTTCATAACTATCCAACCCTGTTTGTGTTTGCTTCGATTTGAAATATTGAAAAGATAGTTTTGCAAGCTGAAATCAGGATCTTTTAAGTTGTACTCAAAATGATGAATATTGTCCTACTGACCTTTGAATGTATTTTCACTGCTGTTAAAACCGTGACACAAATTCTTCTGCTGTTTCTCTGCAGGGTTTCTCAAAGGAAGCACCAAGCGGGGCTGGCTTGGATTTTCTTATAGAACATAAGGGTTGATTATGGGATCCTGTATAGAATTCTTTGTATCGAACCGACAAAATTCCAGATCACGTTATTATACACTGATATCAACGAATTCTCTTTCTTTGATACGTGTTTCGAATTCAGGCAAAGGTTCAGACATGTCAGTGTCTTTTACGGGCTTAGCGCTGGCTCCCGAACAACTGGCTTCCCCATAATATTTCATTAGATGAGAAAAAAGATGTTTTTAGAGAACCAATAAAGCTATTGTTGTTTAATTAACGAAACGTTTTCATGTAAATCAATTTTGTACTTTCTCTGTTGACCTCTAACTTTTGAAGAGCTCAACTTCTTTCTCAGTTCGGTCGGCCACTTCCGAATCCTCGTCGTCTGCCGACTGTATGGGTCGTTTTTTTTACTTCCAAATAATTTGCTTCTGGTGAGGCCTGAATCGTCGGTACAGCACCAGGAAGAAAAATGACTGCTACAAACAACAGAACGGCTCGACGAAATCGGCTATTTTCACTTGAACAAATTTCACAAATTGTCGCTTCAAATTTGCGTCATTTGGAAATATTTGCATTGTATGCCCAGTTTTGTTTGAATCAGAACAAAACTGGACGACACAATGCTTCACCATTACGAAAAAATCGAATATATTGAAGCAAACTGTAAGTAAAAAAATCATGACGAGACCAGCAAACAACGGCTGTAGAAAAGACTCCTTCGTGCCTCACGCGATTATAAAACGAGACTTTGGAGGGTCCACCCGTGACGTCACAGGAAAGATGGCGCCATTCAAGCTGGCGAATGTTTCGAATTTGGAAGAGCTTTTACAAAGTGAAAATGGACTTTTGAGAATAAACGAATGGTACCTTTGGTGTACTTGATATATTTACTAAACATCTATGTGAAAAGAAAATGAACGTTTTTTGGGTTTTTTTAAGGCTTTGATCGAATCACACCCTATATAATTTAAACTTGCCTATACCTCGCGCCATGGCCTCTTGAAAAACAATAAAAGGCTTTTTCAAATATCATAAATTAAATTTTTCTGTCCTTTAGATCTTTGTGTTTCTCCACCAAAACAATCGAGAAATATTACCCGAACCAGGAATCAACTCAATAGATGGTAACTGAGCTCCTTGAAGACACAGTCAGTAAAAAGAATTTTACCGCAGACGCGACGCGAGACAGCTCGATGAATTTATTTTCTTAAAATAATTTAATTTGATTCATCCTCAACCTTCTCAATCACAAATTGAAAGTTTTGTCTATTAGGATATCACTTGACTACAGGCTCAATTCTGGTATAATTAACACGATTTATAATCATACAAATGCTCGATGCCGTCTAACTAAATTACGAACTTAAATGATAATCTAAGCGACAAGAATGAAATAACTGAACGACTATGATCGCACAAATGCACGACTGAGAACAAGTAAAACTAACGAAAATTGAAATGGAGACTAAATATAGCTACAAAGGAGGAAAAACAACAATCTTAATGATTGTCCTTTTTATACGGCTGAATGAAATAAACGCACTGGAAAATTAAAACGCATTGCAACTCCGCAAAGACTTTATGACTCTCTTTCGCAATGCAAAACAGAGGCAACGCACGAGGTTCTGAAAGGTGATCTGATGATAACGTCACTATCCCAGACGACAGTCACAATCACGTCAATCATCGGTAGGATCATTTTCATTTGATTATTTAAGTGCCACTCTCGCTAAGAGCGGTCCTCTCGACTTCCCGTCGGAAAAAAAGTTTTCTTTTATTTTTTGCCCATGAAAAGGGTTTAGGACACATGTTTCAAAAATAGTTTAGTTGTTCCCCAATTCTCTTTTTTTGCGTCGCCATAAGCTAAAAGTGATTTTTGGCCAGACCACCCCTGAGGACAGCAATCGAAAGTGTAAATTTCAAAGGTTTTGTCCAGCGCGCAACGACTACAACAATGTAGCTCACAGAATTCTATCTTGCTACAAGTTACAAGATGTGTTCAGTTAGTTCACAGACAAAGTATGGAAACTTCAGCTGAATTATTTTTCATACCAGCGTGATCAGAGGAGACCCTTCTCTTCGACCTTAATTTGCATATCAAAAATTCACTACTTTGTACGAAAGAATTCTCAAAATGCAGGCCTTAATCGGGGTTAAAAAGCATATTAGTGCATAGTTTATACACCAATGAGATCACAGATTGCCTCAAACCCGCGGGTATATCTCTAGCTTCCATTCACCAACTTCTAAAAAACAGCGCAAATTCATGTGTTTGCTCAATTGCGCTCGTGTCAAAGATCATTTGCATGATTCTTAAAATTGACCAAGATCTCCTTTTCACCGTTCAAACTTCGTTCGTTAATCTTCTACGTCGAGGATTTTAGGTTTTCACAGCAACTGAATGGAGATTAGATGCCGAGTTGTCCTAAAACGTTGCATAAACGTGATCGGTCGTAA